ATAAAAAAAAGTACAAAACATTATTGACCATAGTTCTAGTTATTAATTTTGAATTGTAAAATAAATAGATAAAAAAATAAAATAAATAGAATATTATGTGAACTAATTGTTATAATGAAACTAACAACTTATATTAGTGTAATTATTTGTTAATTGTACAATACAGATGTAATCAAATCTGAAATATGATAAATCATAATGTATTGTAATTTATTGCTTTAAAAAAGTCTAATAAATCTTGGTTATATGAAAATTTCGCAGCGTGTCATAAAATGTTAAATGTCAGTACACATGTAGTAATCAATAAGGATTAAATTCGTCTCCAAAAACTACACACTCAACAATGCTGTATTATGTTTGGTGAAATTGAACAAAGCGTGTTGCAATGGTATCGAAATAAGCATGTCGCACCATAAATAGAAATAAAGTAGTCGTCGCTAAAAGGTAAAGGAACGCAACCGAAAATAAGCGTAATCTAACAGCGAAAAAGAAGCTTCGGCGAAGAGCAAAAAAAAAGCGAAGAAAATAAAATAAACACGAAAGAAATGAGAGAGGACGAGACAGAAACACGCTTGAAATATTCGGAAGTCGTAAAGTGGAAGATCAATTTTTATTTTTTTGGCAGCGTATTACATACACGCGCCAGAGGACGTCGTGCATTTAAGAAAAATATGTTACAAATTAAAATAGAAACGTGTTACATTTTCGCTTCAATTCAAAAAATCTTTCAAATGTCAAAAATGTTCTCAAAGTTTTCCACTTTTTTTTCCGCATATTTTAATTTTTAAATAATGAGTTATAAATAAACATAAAACAGATGGTGACATGTTTAAAGTAATACATATACATTTAAATAAACTTCGAATCTTTAGACAAAAATTTTACTACAATAACATTTTAGTACTTTCGCATAGAAACTTCAAGTCGGAAATATTAAATTAAAAGTCTTAAATAAGTCACAGCGTGCAGTTTCGACCAGTGCGGATTCACAATAGTACGGTTTGCAAATTTCAAAACAAACTGTGCAAGATATTGTGGGAACCGTTTACCCGTACTCTGCAATATATTGTTGTACTAACTCAGTTTATATTGAAATCCCGACAATAAAATTCTTGACATTCGATATCCCGACAACCATAATCTCAACAGTATCTTTTATTATTTGATATAGACTTATAATCTTATTTTATTATATATCTATATCAAATAATAAAAGGTATTTCGATTGCCACCGGTACTAACTTACATTACGAAATAGATCATGGAGTTTAGATATTCTTATGATATTAATTTATAAATTCTTAATTCTACTTGACATCAAGTAGTTCTTTAATTAGATACAAATAAGTCTTTCAATATTTCCAGAAGATTTAACTCTAACATCAACAATATATCTATTTGATTGACCCACTTATTATTCTTCTTTGTTGATTCTTCCTAATTTAAATCAATAGAGGTCCCAGCTCACCTTAAACAAGTAGGCCAATAGTTTAATTGCGCACAATTATAAATAATTCACGAGTCCATTTACAATGAAATTTCGTCGTTCGTCCGAGCCTTGACCTCCGTTCCAGCACATTTCTTTTTTTTTTTCTTCGTGCAAAAAGACCAGGTAAGTCTCCCAATGTATCTACAACATCAGCTTTCTAAACCGAATCCATACTGTCTGTACCCAATAGTCGGATCTAGATTTTCGCTTCCAATATTATTTATATACCACAATGATCTCCATATGTCATAATTCATGCGTTATATAAGTGTTGACTGTGTGAAGAGTGATTTATTATTCGTGCGGCGAAGAAAAGTACATATTTTAATGTTGAGACATTAAACATTTCTTAACAGCGGACGTTGACGAAACCTAATCGATTGATTCTGGGGGGTGGAACGCTCTAGTTATATACAAACAAATTCCATCGTTTCTAAGAATTGATTTTGTTATTCGTAGTGGAAAGTACGTGTTTCGTAATATTGTTTAATAATCACATTACACGCTGTGTATACACTTATCAATTTATAATTTGTGTTTTGTTGCAGATTTGCAAGATTGTGATTATCTGCAAGACTTATTTGGAAAGTGGTCCAATCAATTTATTAATCGAACAAATTTATAATTACATTCTCAATATCTACAATGTTACGAGTTACTCACACATTAATTTAACAATTACAAATCATATTCAATTAAAACCGTCTTACATTTGTTAGGTTAATTTACATAATAAATAAACAAAAATATTACTACTCAATACTCAATTACAATATCTGGTGAAGATTTTTTTACTTAATTTAACCCAATTAAGAGATAAAGAAGTTTTGGCTTCTATTAAAGAAAAACTAACAGTTTTTCAAAAATGATCAACATTGAGAAAAATATCAGGGATTGTCCGAAGATTGTAATTGAAATTAATTTGTTGCAATTCATCCACTTATAACACAAGTTATTTTAGTAAATATTGTTGTATTTATATTTATAATTTTAAATTTATAATATTATATACTGCATCACATTATCCATGACATGAAACATAAATTTATGTCAGGTGTACCAACTATTATGTACAATTACAGAAGCAATAATTGGATTTACATGGAGTCAATTATATCCAAATAAGTATACCTGATATATTTATTCCAAATTTACGAATACAGTGAAACCTCGTTTAACCAGAACCTCGCATAACGAGTATTTCGCTTAGATAAATAAATTGCAATAAAATTAACTCGCAAAATGGAACGCATTATCGAATATTACATTAGTTTATATGGGGAAAATTGTTTCACTATACGAGTAATTTTGAAACGGATTATGCTTGTTAAGCGAGGTTCCACTGTAAGGTAGAAATATAATTATGCAAAATTATAATGACTTATTACGATACTTTATCAATATATTAATATATATATTTATAAATAAACAAATATTACTAAATTATTTAATTAATTATATTGGAAACAATTTAATTATAATGTATTTTAATAGCACAGAAAAAGTTGTTTACAGAGTTGAATGAAAATAGTTAGTGATTTACTCAATCATGCAGAAAATCTTCATCAGTATAGATTGTGAAAGTACTTCTGGAATAATAAAATTGGTAATAAAAAGTAATCGATAAAAAATAGTATACGTCTTAAAATGTTTGAAAATGAAATCAAAATAAGTTCACGTTAAAATATATTTATTATAATAGATCTATTGGATAATAATTCATTATTAAATAATTATATTTTATTAAATAAATAAATTACTTGTTATTAATTTTAGCATTTCAATTCATGTATTTAATGTAGGCAAACAAACATACACCATTTCTAAATTCAAATATCAGTCTATATTAAAATTAAGCAGTTTCGTTCACAGCAATAATAATAAAATAAAAATATTAATATTTGCAAAGGGATTTGATATAATTTAGTATATTATTATTATTTTTAGAAAAAAAAAAGTGGTCAATAGCCCTTTGAAGCAGTTGACTTTTTGATTTATGATATTTATAATATTGTATTGATTTTTTTATTTTGTAATTTTACTGTATCAATAAATATTATTATTATTAAAAAAAATAATGATGTAATTACTAATTCAAATCTTGACATGTAAATTAAACTAACTTACTGATATTTAATGACAGTAAGAATTTTCATAAAATCCCAAAGTATTTGCACTTTTATTAAAGGTATAAAATAATAATTTTTTAAAGAAATTTGAAAACAAATCTTTAGTCCGGTTCTGTATTTACATCAGAGTGTCAAGTTATGTGACCAAAGTCTCTTATATTTTCTTATGTACATAGAGCGCCATCTCTTGAGACAGAAAATTAAATATATAATGTTTGTCACTACTTTTTTTGACTTTATTATTAATAAGTAATTATATATAAGTACTTTTCAATATTTCTTAAATTTAAAATTTGACTTTGACTATTAATATTGTTAAATCAGAAAAACAAATGATGAACAATTGTCAATTAATTTAATTATTTTATGTCAAAAATACCTATACATTATTAAAGTAATTGTAATAGATTTTCATATAGTAGTTGGGCAATAAAAAAAATGTATTATATCAAAACTCATTTAATAAATTGTTAGCCTTCAGACTTGTTTATTATATTTTTTTGATATTTTCTCTATTAGATTTTTTAATTCAATTAAATTAATTATAATTTATGTTAAGCTTTTTTTTACATTTTGAAAGAGTCATAAAATGTGTTGGTGATGAAAGTTATTTAAATGGTTTTGGGTAAAAAATAACTAATTACTAGATTTTTAATAGTTTATTTTTGATTCGAGATATACATCAAAGGAAGGAGAGAACAAAATAAAAAATGTCATTTATTACATATATATTTGCTTAATTACACTTAATAATATAATAGCTATATTTTAAAAATTAAAATATGTGTATATATATATAAGTAGGGAAAAATAGGGAAAATATGGAATATTTACATTTTGATGTATAATTACAATATCAATTGATTATTTTTTTTTACTTTAAATACAATTTACAAGCAGTTATTTTTATTAAATTTAATTGTTTATTAATTATTATTCCACTTAGTTTAGATATTATTTAAAGGTGGCGGATTATATAACTGTACAGTATGTTAATATATCCGTCATCTTGAAACTAGAAATGTATAAACACCGAAAAGCTATATTCATGTATTATATAGTTATTTATATAATAATCATATATTTATTTATTTATATTAACAAGTATATATTTTTGTATTCAATAAATTAAAACAATAATTATTTTTTTTAGGCATACAGTCTTCATTATTTTTATATATTTATAATAATATATTTTAATGTACAGAGATGAGGGCATGACGATGATGCTTTATTTTATTTAATATACGTTGAATATATTTATCAAAGCAACGCCGTCCTGATGGCGCCCTTCGAAGATTTATTTTTTTTCTTTTACTTCAATTTACCTTATAATCTAACTATGCTAAGACATAAAACATAATGTATACCAATAGTTTGTCGTGTCAACTTTTTTTTTTACACAAGTTATACAAATCAGTTCATTTTATGGGCTACAAGATCACAGCATTCACTACACAATCAGCCATCTCGCTTGGGGTAGGGGTAGAATGAGAGAAGAGGAGAGAGATCAGCGTTTGTTCCTTAATTAATAATACTGTTTCGCGGCGGATCCACTCAAAAAAATAAAAAATACCGCGTTCTAATTCGAATTTTGCCGTAAACATTTTCGTTATCCATGTCTCTACACCACAAACACGTTATATAAAAATATAAAATCAACTAGTCGATAGTAGTGTTCCGGGTTTGGGGGATTTTTTTTTTGGAGAGTTGAAGAGCGCACAACTTCCGTTCGTTATTTAGTACATTTCCGGATTGGAAGCCCGAGTTTCATAATTAGTTCATTAATTGATAAAGCACATCTAATAGAATAGGAAAGAATAGTTAAAACAAAACAAATAAACTGTATGCGGGTCGTTCTGGGTCGTTTTATATGCATACATTTAAATATGCAGAAATATATTGAAATATCTTGAATTTGTTCGTTTAAAATGTGGAGTGTGATTCGTTAAGGCACTCATGATAATATTATATAATTAATAAAATTTGTCGAGAAGTAAAACCCTGTAAGCGGATTCGTTCAAATTCTTCGTATCGTTTTGTCTTGATCGTACGTTTTGGTCCACACCACTTAAGCACCACAGATTTGTCTCTACCGTTAGTTAATGACCAGCGCTCGAAGCACTAGTATAAGCCATTCTCACACTTCCGTACCATCCTCGCCTTCGTCCTCGAAAAGAGGTCCGGTCACGATCTTTTTCTTTGGTTTCGGGGGTGGACGTGGAGGAACCTTCGGGGACTTTCCATCGGTGGGCAACAGAGAAGCCGTTGATTCTCTTCGTGAATCGTTGTCAGGGCTTCTAGCCCAGCTGCCACGAATGGCATCTGCATTGAGGTTCCTCTGACCACTCCTAGGAAGCGTTGCGGCCATCGGTGGTGAAGACTCGTGCTCGGCTATAGGATCACAGGGTTGCGGTGACAATGGGAAGGCCGTGCGTGGACCTCTCGGGGTGCTGGTGTTGTTCTCTGCCAATTTGTTGAGGGACAGAGCTGAAGCTCCAGTGGCCGTCGTGCGAAGTCCAAGGTTGTCGTAGAGAGGTTCTCCTATGTCGGAGAGATTCATGTTCGGTGGTTCGCTGCTCCAGCTAGCCCTAGGTCTCCTCGGAATGGTCACATAGGCTCCTTGCCGGGGAACCCTGATGGGCGCTCCGTGCGGCGAGGTAAAGGGCGAATGAGACCTCGAGTAGGGCAGAGTACGATACAAGTTTGCAGTGTCATAAATGGGGCTGTGAATGGGCGATTGCAGGCCGTGGTTTAGCGGAAGTCGAGACGTATCTGCAACTGTTGATGCGGAACTTCCAGCTGGAGAGATCTGACTCAAGGTGCGCGGCGGGAACGACAATAAATCTGGTGGATATTGATTTTCGTTCCTGTAATCAGCATCCAGATTATTCTGGGACTTGAGCTGCCCTCGAGATATGTAATCATAGCATCTCGTCTCCTCGTCACCATCTGAAAATTAAATTATAAAACATTACTATAAGAAAAACAAAAAACTTATTATTAAGTTACACTTTTCCGTCCGTCCCTCTTGTTCGCGCTTTGCAAATATTAAATTTAAAAATATGTAAGTTTCAATTCGGTTGGGGAAGGAACATTTGAGGAGAGCAAACATGATATCCGCTAGTTTACTAAACTGAAACTGGTTGTTTGAAAATATCAAATAACCCTCAGGAGGGTGCTTTTTCGCGGAGAACAATTTGATGATAACAAGGAAATAAATTTGATTTACGTCTTCCTTCAAATGGTGATATTTTCACGGATACATCTTTTCTGGTGGCATCTGTAATTAGTATTGGGATAAACTAATTTACATAGGAATAGTTAATGGTTGCAGTAGGAAATACGTTTATGGTGGTATTGCGGTGAGGTGGTAAATGTAAATAGCAGTAATAAAACAAGAAAGAACACTGCGGTTTGGGGACACTTACTGAATATAGATTCGTCGTCGATTAGCATTTTCTTCGCCTCGCTGACCTCGGTTCCACCACTGGTGACAGACGGCGGGACGGAGTATTGTCGGGGCGGCTTCAATATCGGATTCACGTCGGTTATAAGCGCCTTCTCCATCTCCCCGGGCCGACCGTCCAGGTTTATGAATTCATCTTGGCTCAGATGTCGATTCTTCGACATCGGACCTCTATTCCTACCGTTGCGCTTGCAAAAGCAGCAGATGATCAGAATGATAATGATCAGGAGGATTACGGATCCGACGCTGAGGGCGGTGATCATGATTACTATGTTCGACATAGATGTAGACGATGATGCACCCCCGCCAAAATTGTCGGTCCCTTTTAAGTAGACCGTCACATTGCGTTCATCACTTCCTCCGGCATTCGTTGCGATGCATTTGTATTCGCCACGATCTCGGATGTGTATATTAATAATGGTCAGGTTGTCCCAATACGGAGTCTCTTTGGTCGATGTAATGAAATACTTCATTCCGTTTCTCTGCGTGTCGACGCTTCTTCCATTCCAGTACCAAACGACGCTCGGTCTTGGCTCACCTTCGACCTTGCATGGGATCGTGTAGTTCGTTGTATCCGCTTCGAGAACCGCACCAGGCGATGGAACCACTATTTTGGGGTTGCAGGCGAAGATCACCGACGAGTCAGACCAAGTCCGGCCCTTCAATCTTTCCGGCAGGTCGCACTCGGTGGATTTCGTTATCCAATTATTATCGTGCGCTATCTTCCTGAACGGTTGCAGCTTACAATCGCATATCCACGGATTTCCAGCCAAAACCAAGCTCCCCAATTTCCTCAATCGGTTACTGAAGTTCACGCTCATGTGAGTAAGACGATTGTTCTCCAAGCTCAGATGCAGCAATGAGCTATTTTCACCGAACATGTACTCGCTTATGTATTCCAATTGATTGTTGTCCGCGAATATTTGCTGCAAATGGATCATGTTTTCGAACATGTTGTTCTCAAGTTTCTTGAGTTTATTATGAGACAGGTTTATTATACGCAGCCTCGAGTTGTCTGCAAAGACTTTGCTATCCAACTCCTTAATGGAATTTCTGGAGAGATCCAAGTCGATAAGTAATTTGAGGCCATCGAAAGTTAAAGGATGGACATTCTCTATACTGCAATATTGCAGTTTCAGTTTGTGCACGTTCGCGAGGCCGGCGCTAGAGAACTCCTTCGTCTTCAATTCGTAAAACGAATTATTTGAAAAATCTATATCCCTCAGCTCGCTGCTCAGATTCAAAGGAATCTCATTGAAATGTACGCTTCTACAATCCGCGGTTTTCTTGCCGCTGCTCCAGGTGCATTTGCATTTGCTACATTTGGAGGTCCAATCATCGTTATCTGCCGTCACCATCAGCACCCAAAGACACAAAACAGCTACCAATCTTAGCGCCATCTTTCATCCAATTATCTTCACGCTATGTCCATCTGAAACATAAAACGAATACATTAATTTTTCATACCAAATATTCGACGTCGCTACTGCTGTTGCATGCTTCCATTGTAATAAGAATTAGGCGCCAGGAACAAGACATGCTTGTAATGTGAATAGCGGATAAAATTACATGTCACGTACGGCTGGAAAGATACTTTAGATAATAACAAAGTTATTATTGCCTGAAATTTCCGTTTTCCTGCCACGACGCCAACGTTTTCCATCGTCTGTACTAATTATTTTTATTATCTTCTTTTCCCTTTTACTATTTAACTTTCTCGTTCTCACGACAACTCAAAACAGTTTAAATATATATCTTACAAACAAACAAAACTCAAAAAACATATAATTTTTAATGACAATTACTAGATCCACTGGAATATTGGAAAACAATCATACCTATTAGAAACTCATAGTTTAGTATGTTGATTTATGATCATTAACTATTAATCAATAACGAATACACTATATAGTTTCATTAATGAATTCCTTTATAAAGCAAAATTTTAACACAAACATCGCAAAATATCCTTTTTAAATTTTTAAGTTTTATTTTTATAAAATTACTAAATATTATAAGTACGATAACTATACAAAAAATGATTATTTATCTTGAAATATGTTACTCAAAGCATTACAATATTATGACTGCAACTTTAGCCCGATTGTTGTTGCTTATTGTTTCGTTGCAATTCATTAAATAAGAAACGTACTGAGAAATGTACACAATCATCATTTTTGAATAAACACACTTCGCTCCTCTGGTCAAGGTCTAAAAATTCATTATTACATAATGTTGTTATTGCATTTAAACATGCACGACTTTGAATTCTTAGCAAACAAAAATTAAAAATAGTATTTTAAATTCCTATCGTTTACAAATGCCGAGCACATATATTTTAATATAATAAATAATGAACCAATTAAAGTTTAAATAACATTTTCTCATTATTATTTTTAATATGCTTATTTGGTTAATTGTTGTATAATGACTCAATTATTTAAATGGATAACATAGAAATGGTCTTGGTAAAAGTACTGTTAATATTTGTACAGTTATCAGATGCAGTGTATGTAAGTAAGGTAATAAGCTTTGATCTTCTGCAATGACTCACTTTATTAGCATGTGCTGCTGAATCATTCCAGTTATTCCCATTGTTTAGTATTGCGTTACTCTCTTATGTGAATAAAATGCTAAGTTTCATATTTTTTTACTCGTTCAGAATAATAAGGATATGTGTTGATGTAAAAATCTATATTTATATATAAATGTTATTAGTAATAGTTAAAAAAAAGTTGGTGTCAACTAAATTTAGAAGTGTTTCTATTATAAATGATGTGTTTTGTTTTGCTGAGAGTCACTTAACTGGATGAATGTCGCGCTATGAGATGCTCAAGACGGAAATACTGTTCTACCCTGTCACCTTTCTCAAAAAAACATTCTTTCTTGCTCAGTGAACCCCGAAAGTGATAAAATAATAGATTTTGCTCCCCTCTTCCTATGATCCCAAAGCATTGCCAATATTTACTCCGTCCTTCAACAAAGTTGATACAACCTAGAAGGATTAGGGTTTATGGTATTGTTCAAATTCATTGATTTCATTAATTCTATTAATTTTATGATGATTCACATTTGATCTTGTTATCTAAATTTGATTTATATGAAATATATTATCATAGAGGTCGATGGCCTTTGGCACTGTTTGTTTGTAAAATGCATTTCTATTCGGTTTAAGAAGATTGATAACAGTAAAGAAAATATCCAATAACATTAAATTTATTTTCGTGTTTAAGTGTCAACCAGTTGAGCAATAAGAAAATAAATACCACAAAAATCAATTGCAAGGAAAGCTAAACAGATGCAAGTGCATTTTATATTTACGCTACACTTAGGAAGTATTTCGTAAGCGAGTGCTTGAATTTGTTCAGTTTATTTACTTTTTTGAAGGAGCGAAAGAAGTAGCAGCATTGCGCGTTTTCAGAAATTGATCATGCTTATTAAGCGTCGACTAAAAATAGCAATGACCTTAAGCGTGTAATTACCCGGGTCAAATATAATTAGCGTTGGTGATTCTAAGAAAGTTTAACGCTGCAGATGGAATCTGAATGAGTATAAGAGAGAGGATACATGTATTTCTGCATTGCCGGTATGATTATTGTTATTTGGTCTTCCGCATGGTAACCGTGGATAATATAAAGTGTAGGCGAAGTTCAACTGCTTCTAATCCTTCCACTTAACCCACCAGAAATTATCATCTCGAAATAGAATATAATTAAAGTATGTTTGCATCATCAACCCGAAAAGTTTATGGCAAGTGTAAAAGTGCAGACATGTTCCTCTAATGGTTGGGTTTGAAAACTCGGAGAGGGACGAGACGTTAATTTAGTTTAAGTGTTTATTATGCGGTGTGAAGTTATCGATGATGCATGGATGCTAATCCCGGATAGTTACATAAGGCCGATGTCTACTATAGTGTACACATGCAATTACAGTGCCTGTGTGAAGTTTTACTCTCGTTCCTCTTTGGTCGTTCGGAAATTTCTTTGTACGATGAAGGTTCTGGGTTGATGAGACGCAGAGAGAAAGACAGGGTTAAATGAGAAGTTGAGAGGAAGAGAGAGAAAGAACCATTAGATACATACACAATGTCGCCTTTATTACACAATGTGGGTCGTGCTAACGGCATCATCTTTCCACCGGAATCGATTGCACCATATTTAATTTACATATAAATGGGCGCATTTACATATTGTTCAAATAATAATATAAACGCGGTACCAGAAAATGCATAAAATTCACCCTCATTAATATGACATACATCCATACACCTTTAAAGTTGCTTTATGGACTTGGCACAATCACCCACTCTGCATTGCAATATCCTGCAAATAGCATTTAGTTCCGAAATGTTTCCTGTCGCAATTTACACTTATAAGAAGTTTGTCAAGAAAGTAATTTCCGAGTATAATATCCATACTTTGTTATAAGTGCAATACATATTTTAATTATATATTCAAATTTAATTAATAATTGATAACAACTTCTTATGTTTGTCGATGAACATCATTTGAAATAAACCTTTAGTTAAAAAAAAATAAGATTAAAGTTCTTGCTCTGCAGAAAACACTTCTAGAATATAAGAATGTTATAAAAAATATAAGAATATATAAAAAACTTAAACTCAAATAAAACCAAATTCTTTTTAAATACTTTGTAAAAATAAATTTAATAGTGTGCGGTTTTAACTGTCAATTAAAAATAGAATTAATAAAGTTACCTATGGAAATTTCCAGTAGGTAAGCAATGTGTTTATCGATCGAGTTGCAATTAAAGCCCAAAGTCACTTGAGACCAAAGCTTTGCGTTGCCTCACTGTCAATAATATAATCCGTTGTGGATGAAGGGACACGTTACCTGCGGCTAGAAAAATCTAGAAACATATAATACTTCTTTGCATCGAATGTCTATTCGAGATCAGCATTCGTGATGCTATATTGTTGCTCTAAATGTATTATGTTTCGACTATTGCTTAAGAATAAAAAAGGAAAAATTGCTGCCTGCGCATTAATTGTCACCTTGAAGAGATTGAAATAAAATATGTTGACATTGTATCGAATTTGTGTAAATCCAGCCGCATGGAAAAGTTTTTTTTTACACGTGTGGGCCTTATTGATTACTCAGTTTCAACGTTAACTTCCTTTTTATATAATTGAAATGCAGCTGTTTCTTTTAATTAAAATAATTCCTAGAAGGCAGGTTTCTAATGAATATTGATGATACAGTGATTATATATAAAACTTATTTTGGAAATATCATCAATGCTATATTAAAAATAAAAAATATTCAACTATGTTTGTACATTAATCATCTTTATTTGATAAATCAATGTATGAAGAATTATTAATAAATATTGCAAAGAGCTTACAAGAAATTATGTCATGGTTGTAAATTGAAAGTAGAAGCTTGAGGAATTTCAGAAAATGCAGTCGAATAAAAAAAAGTAATGTTTGGATCGTTTCCAGGTAGAAATTAGCAAGATCACGTAACCGTAACTAATAATATACTAAGAGAATGGTTTTATAAAAATAAAAACAATTTCATTCAATTATATTTTTCTTTTACCAATAAAAGTTTATAAACAAATAACAATTCCATTCAATAATTAATAATAATAGAGGAATTTGAACAATCAATGTTTAGATCAAATAATAATTGCATGAAATTACAATTATTCTTTAAAATTAATAATTATTACTTTACATTTCAAGGAAATATGTTTTATATTATTCTAATAATCTAAATGAAGAAACGTCGAGTTAAATTATAAAATGTAAATTTCTGGTTAAAATTGTTGGTGTTTATATAAGTGTATCAGTTTTATGCTTTTAATTTACGGTAACTCGTGTTCAATTTTCATTGTATTTAACAAAATAAAAATCATATGAATGATTCGTCGCGTGATACGCTGCGACAGCAGTTTAATAAATTGTCAACGTCAACCTTGGACGTTTATTAGCGTAAATTGATAGAAAATATCTGCACGGGAAGTGTACGTCTGCTAAACGGTTCCACGAAGTAGAAACTCCACCTGTATTATATTTTGCATGTCTATCAAAGAAAATGTATCTATTTATTAATAAAATAATGGAATTATATATTTTTTTAATTAAAATTTGTTACGTTGTAACATATTTTCTTATTATGTGACTTTGTCAAAAGATTATTATAAAATATAAATTTTATAATTAATTACAATTGTACTTAATATTTGATTTGTTTCAATTCAATCAGTCGAAATGTTTATTTTACTTACCGAATTTTAGTTGGAACAACGCAATCTGTAACAGAAAAGAAAATTCCAATTAGTTGAGATACAATCATGAAGTATGTCTTATATTTATTAGGTATAAAGTTTGTAATAGTTACAAGGATATATCGTTATAAGTGGACTCATATTTTTATTAGTAATACTCGATATATTATATAAACAACACTTTTCTCTCTTCAGTCCATCTGGATTGATTCAGTTATTTCAAAATCCATATATGAATAAATTTTTCTATTTTAACCCAGAAATCTCTATGGATTTTACAATTCTATTAATATTGAAATACTGACTTTTCGTATTAATAAATTAATCATATTATTAGTCATTACTATATATGTTACTATACATACATAATTTTAGAAATTAGTCATGAAAGAAATTATGAAAACTAAATAAAATTGTATAACATTTGTTTAATTTAGTTTAGTTAAGTTAAATTATGGACATAAATAAACGTGTAAACATATTTGTGTAAAATAATTTCCATTGCGTTGATGTTTTGACCTTGGACAATCTAAAATTGGAGCAGAATGTTTTACAAGTATGTAGTGCAATTTAATGAATCACGAGACGCACAATCTGTACGTCAATTATTTATTTTTTAGATCGATAACCCAGTTATACTTTTATCTTAATAATTAATTGTCTCAAAACATTCGCTTATGAAATTTTCTTTAAAAATAAAAATAATAAAACTGTTTTTTTTTAAATTAATTGACAGTCAATCAACGTGCAAGTTTCCGATAATAAATTTCATTATTCACGAGAAGCCAAGTCAAACAAGAAAACTCACTGAGGCTTGTCGTTCCTTTATACTCTCCTGAAACTAATTATTCACCTTCTTTGATCGTCCTTGGTAAATTTTTACACCGTGTAAACAATGTTTACTTATAAAAGTCTTCGGTGAACTTTAGTCAATTCTATTATGCTTCCATTGTAGGACCACATCGTTGAAATAGAGAAACAAAATTGGAATCACGATAGCATGCTTTGTACTTTCTGATGGAACTAATAAAGCAGACTGTTGACGCAAGTCGTGTGCAATTGTATTTATCAATGATAACGGCTGCAATGAATAACCACTTTATTATGAAAGAGGAAGAACGTGCGGTAAACGAAATACCACGTACTATAGAATACTGCATATGTTGCGTAATTGAAGCCAATTAGGAGGAGGACGGACGAGGAAGATAGGAATATAATCGAAAGAAGTGTATGGAATAAACAACAAGACTGTTGTGCAGACTAGAATATCCATCTCCTTCTCCAGATTTGCTTCCTGTCCATTCTGCTTATATTTACTATTGCCAAGTCAGCGACCTTCGCGTGCATTTATTTATTTATATTTATCTATGGGCACGTGCTTTTTATTACCACTGTCCTGTATTTAGACCATGGGTTCGGTTCTCAAACGTGACGGTAAATCGTTGACCCCTTAGGATTCTTAGAATACATACAACCATCATTCGTGTTTCTAAGTACAGATATTGATCAGAAATAATTTTAGATTTTAACATATTTGGTACTTAATATTAAAGTGCATTAAAGTATACAGTTTAAAGCCATTTGTTGAGCATCAACATTATAAATTACGCCTTTTCATTAATAATCAGATGTGATTAAGCTTTTTCCAATAATGATTTTATGTTATTATAATACATATTTATTTGTTGAAATTTTAAAAATTGAAAGAATTCAATCAAAAATTGCATAATATGCCAGTCATAAAATTATATATGTGTTTCAAGGATAACAGTTGTCAAATGGTCAGTTTATAAATATTTAATAGTATTTATGAAATGTTATAAGTATGTCTTGAAAAATAAATAAAATAAGGACATAAAATGTACAATTTTATTCATTCAGAATTTTGAATATGTTCATTAATGTGTCAAAACAGAAAAACGAGTAATGTTTAACAGATACTAACGTAATAGCATAAATCGTCAAAGTATTTATTTATAAATAGTCATAAGCAGTAATTAATAAATCATTGCAAAGTATAAAATAACTGAGAAAAATAATCTTAATAAATGTTAAGATAAACGTAAGTAATTTAAATAAATGAATTATAACTTGAAGTGTGTTCTATTAAATTTGTATTATTATCATTAACAAGATAAAATGAATTTATGACTTAACTTAATTTCGTTTAATAAATCTGACTGTTTTAATACTTGTGTTAATATTTAATGAGTTTACGCTGAAAACATCGAATAACGGTGGGTGGAAACATTTAGTTGTTGATATGATGTCTAAATTATTAAAAAAATATAAAGTTATCGAAACAATATTGTTAAATAATAAAATATTCACGATTCTATGACGATTTCGATATAATGGTCTATAATAGCTAAATTTGTTGAAAGACCATAATGGAACTATTAAAGTCAGTATGAAATATTGAAGTGGTATATAAGTGGTTGGTAATAATAGATTACTACTATCAAGTATTAACAAACGAGTCGTTAAAGAATTGTTATTCCGTGGCAATTCGATCATTATGAAGAGCGCCTGTCTGTCCTTTGAGAACTCCACGGCGAAATATAAACGGACTATTTCCTTTCTGTAATTGAGATTACGTGCTTCCACGAGCAAATACAGCGGAATTGAATTTATGTGATTCGATGCATTCGATCATTTTTCAAAAGTAGGAAAGCGGCGATTTGTCCACGGACAAATGAACTGGAATCGATGGGAATAAATCAGCACCAGTAATTAAAACACACATACTGACTACACGAGAGAGATAGAGAGAGAGCAATTAAAAAAATAAAAATAAAAAAGGGCACCACTGGAATCGCCACAGAAGGGATGTAAATCCATAAGTAGTTGAACGCGTGTTCAGTAATAAAAGGCTGGAAATGTATGGAATTATTCGGTTACGACTCATTTTTCAATTTAATTACCGCACAAATTAAAGACTGCGAATAAATAAATAAACGCTTTCGAACGTCCAGCGTGTGAGCGGGATTTAAATTTGTGTGTTTGTTTGTGTGTGCTTTGAGTTTTGTGAATGTGCAATATTTGAATCCGACGGTGGTAGGTGGCGTTGGATGAATGGTCCCAATGTTTGGTTTTTAATTTGCTTTCAAATGCACTGTTTGACCAATTTATCTTTTAATGGAATTTATTTTCCATCCGGTCGCAGCACCACCAGCAGTTCCTGCTAACAGTAATTTAAATGTATTGCTAAATAAGCGCCCCATTTCGGACCCCGGTTCCCGCTTATTTATTTATTTGTTTGTTTTGCACTCTTTGCTTTTGTTGCCTGTTTCTGTTTACTGCTTTACACTATTTTATTTTTGTTTCGCAGTCCTATCGCTACGTGCAAATGTTCCCATTTAATTGAACTTTTCAGTCTATAGACAGAACACAGCGCATTTACTTTTATCTTCCCAACCAACGAAATAATTAGAATAAGATTCCTCACTACGTTCTTAATTAATATCGCGCCTATTTTGCATATTGCAAACTTCGTAGGACTTACTTTGAAGAAACAAACCGTTTCCAAGACTATGCGTCATGTCTTGTAACGCAATGATCTCATGTTATTACATTATTTAAAAATCAAGCAATTTCTGATAAAAGCTTACATTTCTTTTAAATTATTCTATTCAACATATTACATTATATTAAAATTACGTAATCTTATAAAAGCAAATATAAATAATTAAAAATAATTTTAATATAACATTTAAAGCAATATTTATTAAAAATTATTCCTCAAACATTACGAAATTACGTTTCAAATTCAAAATTATGATGTCATGCAACATTCCATCAAAATTGCAGATTGAGACAAACAACTTTTACATTCAAGTAGGAGTAATTTATTACTATAATAAAGTATTTAGGTTAAGAAATAATTTATAATAGAAAGAAATTAAAAATAATTATAATATAGAAGATACATTTGAATTCACTTGAATAGTGAAAACACAAAATAAAACTAAATTGTAAGCAACAATTAAGGTGAGAAAATATAAGACAGAAGTATCATCATCGACAAAAAAGACTATTGACTAAATGACCATGATTGAAAAATTTGCATTGCACTTACAATTCATCAGAGGAAGTACAAGAACTTGGCTCTTTTCTCTTAACAAGGAACACTCAATTGTTCTTAATTGAAACAACCAATGACAATGGAAAGGACTTGTTTGAATTTCAAAATTGCTTATAATGATTTGCGATTGTTTACATTTTTCCTGTTTATTAATATTCCAAATGACATTTTACATAATTTTATATTGGTCAAGAAAGAAAAAGGCAAGGAAAATAATTCACGCGAATGTAAAATTAATTTAAATGCTAAGGCCAATTTAAATAGATCGATTCTCTCACCACCTTACAGATTAACTGAACTTATAGCATACAATAAATGTCTTACATGTTTCTATATGATAAATAGCTTAATAGCTTGTGTGATATTTTTTATTTTAAATATATAATAATAAATTATAGAATTACATTAATGATAATGTAAATTATTGATTATATAATATATTAGATTCTTTAAGTAATGGGTATTTTTTTTATAATTTGTAATAATATAATCAATAAAATGTATGAAGCTGATGTGTGCAGCAGCTACGCCTCCAAAATGAATACGTAAGAACGTAGAAGAAAAAACGATATTAAAGTTATTTCAATTTGGTTCGTTCGCCTTTGAGAAATGAAAATTTCCATATATTGATTTTCCCAAGTTTCATGTCTAGTCAGCAGCCACTCGATATGCTTGTTTTTCTTAAATATCATATGAGAATTTATGAGGGCGCTCGACTTTTATTGAACGACGTTCGATTGCTCCTTTTTTTTTGTTCGTAACCTTGCATGCAGTAGTCAACTGAAATCCGATGCAAACATTTAATTAAACTGTTTAATTTCGATGCGATACAAAAAAAAAGAGATGTAGAGTTTGCATGTGTGTATGAAAGAAAAAGAGAGAGAAAGTAGAGGAATATAAAGAATTAAAATCTTATATTAAAAAAGTTTTCATTTTTATGA